CAAACTGAACTGAAAATTTTGAATTAATCTGAAATTTCAGATCATTTGAAATGATGAAATTATCATTCCAAATGAACGATAAAAGGATCCTTCAATTAGAACAATGAAATTATCATTCCAAATGAATGATAAAAGAATTATTTGATTGGAACGATTAAATTATCATTCTAAATGAATGATAAAGAATCATTTATTTAGAACGATTGAAGTTATCGTTCCAAACGAATGATAAGAAAATTGTTCAATTAGAATGTTTAAAGTTATCATTCTAAACGAACGATAAGAAAATCGTTTAATTGAAATGATCAAATTATCATTTCAAACGAACAATAAAAGAATCATTCAATTAGAACGATCAAATTATTGTTCCAAATAAACAATTTTCTTATCGTTCGATTAGAACGATCAAATTATCATTCCAAAAGAATGATAAAAGAATTATTCATTTAGAATGATAAAAGAATCGTTTATTTAGAATGATTGAAGTTATCGTTCTAAATGAACGATAAGAAAATTATTATTCCAAACGAACAATAAAAGAATCGTTTGATTGGAATGATGAAATTATCATTTCAAATGAACAATAAAAGAATTGTTCAATTAGAATGATGAAGTTATCATTCCAAACGAATGATAAAAGAATTGTTCATTTGGAATGATTGAAGTTATTGTTCCAAACAAATGATAAAAAAATATTCATTTGGAATGATGAAATTATCATTCTAAATGAATGATAAAAGAATCGTTTGATTGGAACAATCAAATTATCATTTCAAATAAACAATAAAAGAATCATTTGATTGGAACGATCAAATTATCATTCCAAACAAACGATAAAAGAATCGTTCGATTGGAATGATCAAATTATTATTTTAAACGAATGATAAAGAATCATTCAATTAGAACGATTAAATTATCATTCTAAACGAACGATAAAAGAATCATTTGATTAGAACGATTAAATTATCGTTCTAAAAGAATAATAAAAGAATTGTTCATTTGAAACAATTGAAGTTATCATTTCAAATGAACGATAAAAAATCGTTCGATTGGAACGATTAAATTATCGTTCTAATTGAATGATAAAAAAATCATTTATTTAGAACGATTAAAGTTATTGTTCTAAACAAACGATAAGAAAATTGTTCGATTAGAACGATTAAATTATCATAAAAGAACAATAAAAGGATCATTCTAAATGATTCAAAATTTTAGATTAATCTGAAATTTTCAGTTCAGTTCAGATTTTTACCAGTTTACAGTTCAGTTCAGTTTCAGATTGGTCTATAATCCAGACTGAACTGAACCGTTCAGAGCATTTTTAATACTAGATCAGAATATAAGGCTATTAGCATAATATCATAAGAATTTTTTAACTTATAAGACTTATAAAAAATTACTTTTTTTAATCTTCTAAAATTGTTGCTACTACTATTAAATTTCTAAAGTTATTGTTAATCACTATAACTAACATTAATATTATATCAAATTGATTAGTTTTAGATATTATATCAATAATTACAATATTATAGTTTCTTTTATAAGCATTATTTTAATCAGAAGATATCTAATATAATAAATTTAATTACCTTTCTTTAGAGAATTAATAATCTATTTTGAATTATTTTTTTTTTAAATATAATTTAATAAATATTTGATATATATTATTTTTACTAGTCTTCACTTATTTTTTAAATTGTTGAATAATATTACTTAAATTCTTTTTGTTAATTACTTTATTTAAAAATAAAGCTATTTATAGGTTGTATTAAGATAATATACCTATTTTTTATGAATTATTAAAAATTTTACTTTTTTAAGTATCTTATTAGTTAATTTTCAAAATTATAGTACTATTTTAATTATAAGAGAGTTCATATTATGATTATATTTACTAATTATGCTATTAATATGAATACCACTTACAGATTTAGAAAAAATCATATTATTATACCAAGAATATTAGATCATTGTTGAATTCCTATTCTTTAATTTTTTATTAAACTACCTTTTAAGTTTCATAAGTTTATGCATATAAAAATTCATATATTCTATATCTTATAATTGTATTATCTATTAAATCTAATATATGTAATGTTTTAAATAGTTCAGTTTAATCTAAATTATAAGCTAATTTAAATTTAAACTAAAAATTTTAGTTCAGATTATTAATTTTAAAAATGTTAATCTGAATCTGAACTGAATTATAAATTGATAAAAATCTGAATTAAATTAAAAATTAATCTAAAAGTTCAGTTTATTTAGAATGATTTTTATTATTTTAATTAAGGTTGCTAAATGAAACCTAGAGATTTTACAAGTTGTCTAAATGGAAAAAGGTAAAATTTAGCAAAATTATATTAAAATCTTATTAAAAAGTCTGCAAAATTCTGAAAAAGGTAAAACTATATTAAAGTTTATAAAAATGCAAAATTATATCAAAACTTTAGTAAAAATTTAGCAAAACTAGAGTTTAGATATTTTGCTAAAATGAGTTTAGATAAGCAACATTAATTTTAATTGAATAATATTTTATTGTTCATTTAGAATAATAATATCAATCATTTCAAATGAATAATATTTTTATCATTTATTATTTCAAATGAATGATATTCTTATCATTTATTTAGAATAAATAATTTTTTATCATTTTTTTAGAATAATAATTTTATTATTTCAAATAAATAATATTTATCATTTATTTAAAATAATAATTTGTATTATTTTAATCAATAATATTTTATTATTTATTTAGAATAATAATCTAAATTATTCTAAATAAATGATATTCTTATTATTTATTTAGAACAATTAATCATTTCAAATAAATAATATTTTTATCATTCGTATAAATCAATCATTCTAATTGAATAATTTTTTTATTGTTTATTTGAAACAATAATTTGACATTCTAATTAAATAATATTTTATCATTCTTTTAGAATAATAATTTAAATATTATAATTAAACAATGTTTTATTATTCTTTTGAAATGATAATTTTGATCATTCTAATTGAATGATAATTTTGATCATTCTAATTGAATGATATTTTATCATTCATTTGAAACAACTATTTGAAATTTTCAGATAATTTTTTTGTAATCTAAACCAAATTAAAGTTGATTTGAACTGAAATTTTTCAGATTAATCTAAATTATTCAGAGTTTTAAGTACACGTCTTTTTTTATAAAACAAAATACTTATAGCTTTATATATTCATTAAGGTATGATTCAGCAATTTTTCATGTTTCTAATTCTATTTCTATATATAATTTTACTTCATTTTCTTTTTTTCATGCTCATTATTATTATTTCTTTCTTTTTTATGATGATCTATATTCTTATCATATCTAAATATAGTTTCATTATCTGAACGAATTTCCTCATTTATCATTTTATTTTCCACTTGAATTCATTATAAATGTCAAAGTGTAGATTGGAAAAACTGTGTAAAGAATTATACAATTCAAATATTAGATCAGAAAAATTATGTGAAGGGCTGTTTAACTCAAATGTTGAATAATTGTGATAAGCATTGAATAATAGGTTGAATCATAATATAAAGAATTATAGTAAGAATTAAACATATCAGAACTATTATACAAAGAATCATTGGTATTTGAAACAATATTTTCCATTGTAAGTATTTTGATATTATGTGTAAGTATTCAAAATTCAGTTAGTATATACAATTAGAAACAATATGTAATGTAATTTTAATTTCTTTAGAGAAAGGATAAGATGTGGATTTTGATGCCAAAAAGCGTTGCAAACAATGAAAGATACAATGTTTTTAGAATAAATAACTATACAAAAGAGAGAAGGTTTGAAAGAAATTGATAGCTTAGATTACATCATAAACAACATATCATTCACGTAAAAATTTAAAAATTTTATTCAATTTGTTGATCGATCAACCTGTATTGAAAATTATTATTAGAATTTATTTAGTAGAAAATTGCAGACAAATTTATCTGCAATTTAATAAGTTTTCATCATTATAATTGTAATAAATTATTATATAACGATAACATCAGTTTAAAAATATATAAATTTTAAAAAGCACACCTCCTTTTAATCACTCTTTGAAGCCTGTACAAATTCACAGATTGTAGTACTTTGAAAAATTACATCTGCAAACTCACATAGAATTTCACAAATTTTTGAATTATAATACTCTAATAATTCATTAATCGAAGTATTTCGTGCGTATTTTAATTTAACCAAGAGAATTTCTTAATAAATATAAGTGTATTAGATCGTTGGGATCCCAAAATGTTCAAAGAACTTACTGTCTTGTTTACAACTCAAAGAAAAGTCATAAATTACAACTTTAAGCTAACTATTTGTTTATTTTTAGAATTGTCATTCATCATTTTTGAATCTATTATAGGAAACAAAAACCATTATTCTGCCTGTCTTATCTTGTTTCACAACATTGACAACAAATCTGATGAAATATTTCAATAATTCCTTTGCACTCACTGCATTGTTTACTTGGCGAATAAAATATTATTTAGTTAATTTTGATCTCAGATGTAATACCAAAATTTGTTAAGTTTCGGAATAATGCGATCATTGCATAGCATAATAAGCATAATAACATTATCTGATATCAGAATTCTACATTCTAATGTAATTATACACATTCAAACACATCTATTTATAAATGTATCCCACAGAAATTTCGAAATCATTTTTCAATCATTTCTGTAAAATTAAGGGACTTTTCTGCTGTTTCATATCTTTCATTATATCGTACGTTCCACGACGGATTATAGTTTTAAACAATTCCGATATTTTCATATCATGTGAACCTATTCCTTCCTATCTAATTGGTCAACCAACCATTCAATTCCGGATCTACAGACGACTTTCCATAAAGCTTTTAGTTTAATTTGGAAAAAAGTATCGTCAGGGGGTGTTATTTTTTCTCCCTTCGTATTTTATTTATATATAAGAAAAAAAATTTTATTTTTTTTTGTTTTGTAAAAAATAATGAAGGCAATCAAAATTAAATTTATGTCTCGCATTTTTGACCCAAGAGAAGATTCGATGTCAGCTCCTATCGAAAAAGAAGAAACTTCGCCAGTAGACTCCGCTACTAACACCAATACCGCTCGTGCGAAATCACTTCATTCAATCTTTTCTTCATTTCAATTCACCAAACAACAACAAACAGCAACATCAAATGCAACATCAACATCATCAACATCAACATCTACATCAACAGAAACAGTAACAGCAACGGCAACAACAGATGCGACGAAAATTTCAAATCAAAAACAAAGTTCGTTAGAAGACAAATGTCCATATCCATTAACAATTGATTGCCTTGAGGAAATTCTTTCACATTTAATCGATGATAAACTTACATTATTTTCTTGTATAATGGTGAATAGTTTATGGTTAAACCTATGTATACCATTTTTATGGAGTAATCTATTTGATAATTTTCTCCATCAAACAAATCAATCACGGTTGATAAGAACCTACATTTCTTGCTTACCCATACAAGACAAACAAAGACTACTTAAATATAATTTAAATAATTCGAGCAACAACAAGAAGAAATTTTCAACCTTTATGATGCAAACTCAACAGTTTCCTATATTTAACTATAACAAGAGAAATTTAATAATGAAACCTTTATCACGAATCTCACTAAACGAGGAACCATTATTTTTCTATCCTAAATATTTGAAAAGTTTAAATTATGACAAGTTTGATTTCGCGATAAAAGGATATTGTTTAGCTTATTCACATCAAAATCATGGACAATATAAAAGATTGGTATTTGAATTATTAAAAAATTTAATATTTAATAATGAAATGGTCTGTTTGAGAGATTTAAAAATCAAATTTAATCATGAAATTGAATCACCTTTACATAACACGGCAACGACCATCATGAAGACATCAATAAATACTTTTATTAAATTAACCACATTGGATTTAAGTTATAGATATTCAAGCGAGACCGATGAGATGATAATTCCACAACAAATTTCAAATATTTGTACGCATTTATCAATACATTCAACTCACATTCGACACCTTACGATTTATATCACTCAAAAATGGTGGGGGGATGAATTTAGGCAACAAATTTGTGATCCAATTTTTAAATTGATCAGATCTCAAAAAAATTTAAAATACCTTTCTATCAATGAATTTTGGAATAATAATAAATGTCAATTAAATAATAAGTATGATAGTGTTGATAGGTTGGATATGGGCATTGAATATTCAAAACAATTTTATCAGATTTTATTACAACAAACCAGCAATACTTTGGAATCTTTACAATTTCATGATTTAACCCAATTTAAATTATTATTAAATATCCTTAATCATTTCAAAAGGTTAAAAAATTTGGAATTTAAAAAATTAATTCAACCGAATAAACATTTAAATTTATGTTTAAATGGTGGTGGTGGTGGTGGTGGTGGGATTCATGATTTATCCAAGATAAATAATTTATCCCTTACCAAATTTGTTTGTTACTATAGACCTTTTTCTTACAGACATTTTTCCATAAACAATAATGATGGTGGTAATTCAATTATAATTCACTCTTTGATCTCCCCTATAATAATATCTTCAAACAAATCTCTTGAATCCCTTTCATTAAGTGAGGTATCCAGAGATATTTTATTATCCATTACAAATCATTGTCCAAATGTATCAAATTTATCCCTTTCGTTAAATCCTTCTTTATCACCCGAATTTTGTGCTTTATTAATGTCCCTTTCTAAATTACAATCCCTTAAGATAAATAAATCCTTTTGTAATATTTCATTTACTGCCACTGATTTAATTAATTTGGCCAATTCTTTACCAACTAGTTTATATTATTTTAACACTGATATCTTTGATAATTCGAAATTTTTAAATTATTTCTTAGAAAATTGTAATGTAGATTTAAATTTATCTATATTGGAGGTTTATCAAAATGTTGTTGATGATGCTGCATTAATAGCCGTTTTGAATTATAAACAGAAAAATGGTGTTAGACTAAGAGAATTTAGATATAGTGGAATGAGTATCATGTTTAGCACTAGAATTTGGGAATCAACTAAAAAGATTCTACCTGATCTTGTAAAGGTTTAAATAAAGAATTATTATTATTTTGTTTGCGCTAGATAAAATTTCGAGACAGGTGAAAGTCACGGATTAATGGTATCGTCTCAATTCTGAAAATCTCTGTAATTTTATGATTTTAAGAGTTTTCTTTGAGTTGTAAACATAATAATAAACGAGACAATAAATCCTTTTGAATATTTTGAAGATTTGTTTTATGATGAGGCGCAGTAATCACACGTGTGGTATCCAATAATTAATTTATTTTGTATACATGCAAAACACCCAAACTATTTTGTAAATGTCAAAAGTCAAAAAATTACTTACTACGTTTTTTTATGTAGTTATAACATGAGATATAAGAAAAATCGTATTTTTTGGAGAAAGGTCACCGTATTTTATCTAAAAGAATAGATAATTTTAATTCATGTTTAAAAAATTTATTAATCTGTTTAGTCTGTTTGTTTCTACAAAACATTTTGGTTCTTAAAATTTTAAGTTCAAAGTCATGATCATGGTGGTATTTTCTTTTCTTTGGTAATATAAAAGATTTGTTAAATATTTTATAAAATTATTCCAATGTTAAACTTTTTCTCATCGATGTTTCCTTTTTCTCATGGATACGTAGGTATAGGTAACTTTTTATATCCATTTTTTTAATTCTAAAAAATGAATTCATCAAAAAATAATTATCAAAGTAAAAAAAAAAAGTCGAAAAAAAAGCGTTGGTCCACATGTTGGGGTTCGTGTAACGATTTTTCTTGATCACAATCATTGTTACAGAATCATTATTCGTAAACCAGTTTCAGGTTGCGCAATATTGCATCGTTCATCGTGTTACAACCAGAAAAAGGCTTAGAAGAAAACAAATTTTTTATTTAAAATGGTTCCATTGTTTTAATTTTTATTATACATATATATATATATGGGTATGTATTGTATGTAGAAAAAAAATAAAAAAAAAAAATTTTTTTTTTTTTTTCCTCGCTTCTCTTTAAATTTAACTTGTTAAATATGTCATTAAAGAATCCAGATTGTTTAGAAGTAATATTTGAAAATCTAAAGGATGAAGTCACAACACTTCATTCGTGTCATTTAGTTAATAGGTTATGGTGTCGACTTACAACACCAATATTGTGGCGTAATCCATTAAAATTTACGAGTGGTAGAACTAATGCAACATATCAAGTCATCCAAATATATATCTCATGCCTTTCCGAACCCAAGAGAAAAATCATTGAAGCAATTTTACCAAGATTATTCTTTAATGAGAAACCTTTATTTGATTATCCAACACATTTACAAGAATTCAATGAAAAAGAATTCGAGATAGGAATTAGAATTTGGATGAGTATGATTGAAAATGAAAAGTTTATAATGATACATAGTAATGGTAGTGGATCGAAAAGGGAACATTATACAATGAGAAGATTTAAGAATGAAAATTTGGAGGCACAATGTGATTTGGTTTATGACATTTTATTTGAATTATTATTTAAGAGTTCAAAAAGGTTACGCACCATTAGAATTTTACCGATGGATGGATGTCAATGGAAGGAAAAGGGAATAGATGGTATCGTTAAAGTAAATCACCTCTTATATTCCTTGCAAAAATTTATCTTTTGTTGTAAATGTAAGGAAATTAATTCAAATCTTGACAAGATTTCAAACTTGTTTACGACAATGTCAAAGCACGTTCATGATTTACAACATTTATTTATCGACATCAACGAACGTTCCACACATCTCGTACAACATAAACTTTTCCCACTCGTTAAATCAATTTCCTCTTTAATTGAATCACAAAATTCTCTCAAGGTTTTAATTATAAATCAATTTTGGGATTGTTCAACCTGTTATTTAATTGAGTACGCCCTTTCAAGGCAAGCCCCTTCCCTAATATATTTAGAGATTAATGAATTTTACAATTATAATGTAATCTTACAAATCTTACCCCTATGTAAAAATTTAGAGACTATCAAATTTAGTCATCCGGTTCCATTGAAATTTGATCGTACATTTGATTCCACTCCATTACCTTTGTTAACCTCAAATAATCTTCCCATTAAAAATTTTTATTCCTTGATGGATAATTATAATCATGACATTACTTTAACTACGACGGAATTAATCTTGAGAATGTCAAATCGATTCCTTCAAACCCTTTCCCTATCAAAGATCACGGAAACTTTGGTCAATACAATTACAAAATATTGTTCTCAATTAACTCATTTATCATTTGTTTTTCACACGAGAGAGATTAAATCAATTTGTTCTTTACTTTCTTCACTTCCTTCCCTAAAACATTTAATCCTCATACATTATGATTTAAATCAACCGACAAATGATTATTTATTCTATCAATTGGCCAACTCCATTCCTAATACCTTAACCCATCTTGGTTTCGATTTCGAGTTGTCTCCCAAACTTTTAAACGTTTTCTTGTCTCATTGTCCCCATTCAATTAATATTCTTACCTTTCATGGTACGAAATGGTATCGAGAAGATTACCTATCTGGAATTGTTAAATATGTTGAAAAGAAACGTAATGGTTTAAAAGAATTGAGGATTGAAAAATTCAAACGAAGTGATGAAGCTTTCTTACCTTTATTCTTCTTGAATGCGTTAAAAGATGCAAAAAAAATAATACCCGTGATCAAGGATTCTAGTTCTGCCTTTGTCCCGTTTTTTGGTGAGTAATTATTTGGTAAATTGTTGGGAGAGTAATATATTATACGTTGTGTATTCATCTTGCTAACTTTTTGTTTTTTATTTTCAGATTCATTTGATGAGTGTAATTAATGTAATAAAGAAAATTGAAAAAAAGGAACTATGCATACTATGCAGGTACATAGGTTGGTTTTGGTTATAGTGCTACGGAACCATTCTCTAAAAAAGAAATGGATACCGGTTCAGGTGTAATTTATATCATGTATTATTATTGTACAACAAACTTCTTGTATATTAGTTATATCTATATATATTATCATTTATCATTATCATTATTATTAAAAAAAAAAATCCTCATGCTTGGTATAATTTCTTAATTCAAACCAAAATATTTTATATAAAGTGTCAAGAGGGAAAGGTGATTTTAAATCAAGTAATGTCATGTGACCAGGGAATCATTAAATCCGGCAAAATCTCATGTGCATTGGCCCCTCAACATGCCCCAAAATGTCTTTACATGTGTGAGTTATGATCTACAAGTATTGTCTGCAACAAGCCAGTTAAAAAACCCCTTTCATCTTCAACCAAATATCTCCCAAACATGTAACACCGCATTAATATCACACCGTTTAACAAATTTACATTTGAAGAACTTTTATTTAAATTAAATAAAGAAACTTCTCGAAATGAGATCACTCCCAAATTCTTTCTATAATAATATATATATTTGCCTTTAAAAAATAAATATGTAATATTTACTAGTGAAAATACAATAATAAAATGTGATTAAATAGCTCTCGTTCTTTTTTTTTTTCTATCGTCAAAGATGAAGTCCTTTCATATTATTCCAAATATATTATTATCAATTTCCAAATTTGATGAATAAAAATACATATATATATATTTATTTATAATAAAAGGGAGGAGAAATCCACGTCAATAATCAATATCTTTCTAAAAAAAAAAAAAAAAAAAAAAAAAAAAAAAAAAACCATTAAATGTCATATACATTTGTCATCTTGTTTGTACGTTGCCTAGGATCCATTTTAAATTTAAAGGATTAAATTGGGTGAATGAATTTGCTGTGGTGGAAACTACAGCGGAAGAAACTGCGGGTGAAAAATAATCTTGGTAAGATAATCCCCACTGAGATGATAACGTATCTTCTTCATCAGGGGAATAATCATTTGTTGTTACAAAATCGGAATATAATGGAGATACGGATGTCGGTATAATCCACACTCTCTTTTCGGTGGACTGTTTATTATCTGACAAGCATTTCGTTGTTGCGGCAGTTGTTGTCCTTATTTCACCCGGCTCACAATAGCAAATTTTACCTTCTTTTGTTTCACAAAATATCGGGTCTCTAATTATATTATCAATTGTATCAATTGAGGGTAGGCCGCACGAAATTTGTGATGGTCGAGTGACTAATCCATGTTGATCATTAAACGAAAAGGTTGATGTGGTTGGTGATACGTTGTTCGTAAATGTCGTAAAACATTCACCACTTTGAGGTTGTTGATCAGCGGTTGAATGATAACCGATGTCTTCATTGTTATCGTTAATATCATCATCATCATCATTATCATCATAATCCTCCTCATAATCATCATCATTTTCGTCATCAAAAGAGTTCACGTCATTATTATTAGCAACGTCGTTTATCTTGTCATTTTTACCAGGATTAGTAGCGACGGCATGATTAAAACAATTTATTCCTTCCTCAACAGCGACTTGTTTTTCCAAAAGTGCAACCTTTTCTTTCAATGATTCGATTTCTTCCTGTGCACCTTTAAATAATTCTTCATACTCTGAAGCTTTGGTTTCCAAATTACGAATGTAATATTCCCTTCGTTGACGAAAAGCTCGTTGATTGATTAAGTTTTGTATATGTTTTTTCTAATGAATGGAAAATTCAAAGTTGGTCGTCCATTTTATTGTAATTTATAATAATTTATTAATCCTTTGTGTACTTACGGTTGTAGGCATCGAAGATAACGGTTTACGTCCACGTTTATTTGATGGTTTGTTTGTAGGTTGTTGAATCCTTTTAGTTATGTCATCAGTTTGTTGCATTTCTGATGATTTTTAAAGGTGAGATATTTCGTTTGGTTAAAGATGAGAATATGAGTTAAATTACTTACCATTTGAAATAGAATGATGTGTTGAAGTGGAAAGTCTGGGAATAGGTAACTTTAAAGGTTGTGGAGAAGATATATTCATTCTTTTTTTAAAAAAAAAAAAAAAAATTCAAGAAAATTTATGAAAAGGGGAAAAAAAAAAAAAAATATAAAATAATAAATAATGATATATAATATTATACAATATATTTATATGAGTAAATATCGGATGTTCTCGGTAATACTAATATTATTCACCTTTCGGAAAACAAAAAAATAAAAAAGAGATTTTTTTTTTTTTTTTTAGGGGGAGCTATAAATTTTTGAGTAAATATTGTGAACGAGTTGTTTACGTATGACAACTAAACTAATCAATGAATCAATTGTGGGATCAGCTTTGACTTTTGAACGCCATTCTTTTTTTTAAAAAAAAAAAAAAAAAAAAAATGGATGTGCCCTATGCATATAATAATACTTACTATACGTGAGTATTTCAACAAGATTTTTTTTATTTTTCTTCCTTTTTTTTAAAAAAAAAAAGAAAAAGAGGAAGGGAATAAAGAAAGTTAATTCTTAAAATCTAAAACATATATTATTTAATATGTAAATTGATTATCGTTTCCATTTAATACCATCACGGGACGTCATGCGATTGCTGATTGTGGAAAGTTGCAGAACTTTATTCTCTAAAATTTCTGGTACGCCTTAGAATTGGTTACGCAGAACGGAAATGATGAAATAAATTATTTTATTAAAACATTTTTTCTTTACGAGTTAACAACATCTGAAATTTGGTACAAAATTATTGATTTGTTGTGGAATTAATTAAACGTTCATAAAAAAAAAATAAATCCCATTATATAGTTAGTTGTAATCATTTCCAAGAGCCAAGCAAAAAAGAATATTAAAAATACCCTAAACATACCTATTTAAAAATGTTCTTGAGAAACGCTATTGTATTCGAATAAAAGCAAGTTCCGGATTTTTGTTGATTTTTATTATTTTATCTGCTCTGCATTATATTTAAAAGCAATGTTGTCACATGATTGTAATGTCACGTGATCTCGGACTTGCGGACATGGCCGGAGCAACACTACTTGATTGTTTATAGGAAGATCGAATTATTTAAAAAATCAAATCAAATAATATAAAATGTAACACAAAGAATTTACAATCCAATAAAATTCGGCGTAAAATCATCTAAGATGCAAAAACTCTAATAAAAGAATGCAATGCGCTTCTTTATGGGAAGATGGACAACATCCCGAGAATTTTCAAAATGCTATTTGTTTCAAAAGTAGTTAAATGAAACCTAATTTGTTTCCTTGGGAGCGTATGAAATTGGAGAAGTTATGTTTTGAATACATTAAAAAGAATTTTTGTTTCAGTGATTATCAATTAAGCCCCTATCGCTTTTACACTAAAAATAAATTTTAAGGTTAACCAATATAACCAATATAACCAAATACCAAAAAAAAAAAATTTTTTTTTCAATAATGCTTTCGATGTTGATAAAATACTCCATAAATTTATGTTCATAAATGATAATTTGTAACCCTTGTCATATAGTTCTTCCATTAAAAACCAGTCAATGTTAAAATGATAATGTTTTATTTATATCTATAATAATAAT